CCCTAATCAAGCATAGGGCTTCGCATGGTTTCGGGTTCAGGGTCTCAAACAGAGAGCGCATGAGAACCACCCTAAACCCTATGAACCCTAAACCATAAACCCTAAACCCTAAACCCTAGCCCTAAACCCTATAAACCCTAAACCCTAAACCCAAAACCCTAAACCCTAGACCCTAAACCCTAAACCCTATGCCCATCACTGCCAGGAGGATTGTCGGCCGTTCGCTGCGAGCTTCGAGTCAGTCTACGACCCTGGGTTGCCGTTACCCAGACCCCCAAAAGGATGTAAAAATTAGATCCCCTAATTAGGGGGTTTAGGGTTTAGGGTTTAGGGTTTAGGGTTTAGGGTCCCCTAAAAGGGGGTTCCTATAAAGTACCCTTTAGTAGTTAGGGTCCCGAGTTAGGGAATCTTTAGATCCTTTTGGGGGTCTGGGTAAGGAACTTAACTGAAGTAACTATCATTTGGGGTTCCTCTAAGGGTTCTATTAGTTAGTAATGACCATTTCCATTTTCTAGTCATGCACCACCCCCTAGCGCCCAAACCATAACAACCTATACCTCAACCCTAAACTCACCAAAAATCCCAACCCCAAGACCCACAATATAGAACCATGAGAAGACTCATAGGCAACCACATAGAAAGCCCCAGCCTCAACCCCATACACCCGCACCCCCATAGAAAAACCTATATGCCCAACCCGAAATCCCGAACCCTTGAAAATGGAAATGGTCTTCTGTAATAAAATATCTAGAATAGGAATAAGGTTTAAGAATAAAGTTGTAGCGCCTGCGATTTCTACACGCGCATGTGACGCAGCAGCGGCTTAAGGTCTGTTCTTGTATTCTTTGGAGGTTTAGGGCTTTCGGTTGTTTTGGTTGNNGTTGTGTAAATGTGTGTGTGCGCATGTGCAACATGACATGGTAACTTAATCTTCAGGGCTTCTTTGAGTTCATGAGAGGAGTCCTGTAGCGTTTCAACATGAGTCATGAGCGTTGGTGGCGATGAGGAGGCAGGCAGGTTTAGTCCTCGAAGAGGGG